GGAAGACGGCGAGGACATCGATGCTATCTTGCCTGTTGAGTTCCCGGCTTTGGAGCCACACGGTACCCTTACAGCGTCAAGTGCTAGGAAGGCTGGACGAGAATGGGCCCATATGGTCGACATCAAGAGAGAGATCCCAAATTTCAGGGAGCTGGTGCCCGACATGGCAAGAGACTGGCCCTTCGAGCTCGACACTTTTCAAAAGGAAGCCATCTATCATCTCGAAAACGGCGATTCTGTCTTTGTCGCTGCACATACTTCAGCGGGCAAGACTGTCGTCGCTGAGTATGCCATCGCCCTCGCTGCAAAGCACATGACGAAGGCCATCTATACCTCACCCATCAAGGCTTTGAGCAACCAAAAGTTCCGGGACTTCCGCCAAACATTCGATGAGGTGGGAATCCTGACCGGCGACGTCCAAATCAACCCAGAGGCAAGCTGTCTGATCATGACTACGGAGATTCTGCGCAGTATGCTCTATAGAGGGGCAGATTTGATACGGGACGTTGAGTTCGTTATCTTTGATGAGGTGCACTACGTCAATGATTTTGAACGCGGTGTAGTCTGGGAGGAGGTCATTATTATGCTTCCAGAGCACGTCACGCTGATCCTGTTATCTGCTACTGTACCCAACACTTACGAGTTCGCTTCTTGGGTTGGAAGGACAAAGCAGAAAGACATCTACGTCATCTCCACCCCAAAGCGCCCTATTCCACTTGAGCATTACCTCTGGGCTGGCAAAAACATACACAAAATTGTGGACTCCGACAAGAAATTCGTCGAAAAAGGGTGGAAGGAAGCCAACCAGGCCATTCAAGGCAAGGACAAGCCGAAGGCCCCGGAAACGACCAACTCGGCGCGTGGGGGCGGTGTTGCTGGCCAGAGAGGAGGCCAGAGAGGTGGAGCACAGCGCGGCGGGCAGCGCGGCGGACCTCGGGGTGGTGGAGGCCAGCAAAGAGGGCGTGGCGGACCACCACGTGCCAGCCATGCCCCAGGCCACCTAGGACGGACTGGTCGTCAAGGCGGCTTCACATCGGCTGCTCAGGACAAGAATCTCTGGGTTCATCTTGTGCAATTCCTCAAGAAGTCCAATTTGCTACCTGGCTGTATCTTCGTCTTCTCGAAGAAACGGTGCGAGGAAAATGCCGATGCACTTAGCAACCAGGACTTCTGCACCGCCGCCGAGAAGAGTGCGATTCATATGACTATTGAGAAGTCAATCGCCAGATTGAAGCCCGAAGACCGAGTCCTCCCTCAAATAACCAGACTGAGGGAACTCTTGTCGAGGGGTATTGCAGTCCACCACGGAGGCCTTCTACCCATTGTCAAAGAGATTGTCGAGATTCTCTTCGCTCAAACTCTCGTTAAAGTGCTATTTGCAACGGAAACATTTGCCATGGGTCTTAACTTGCCAACTCGAACTGTCGTCTTTTCAGGCTATCGGAAACACGATGGTCATTCGTTCCGAAACCTACTTCCCGGCGAATACACGCAAATGGCTGGTCGGGCAGGGCGCCGAGGCCTGGACACTGTTGGTTCAGTTATCATCGTTCCGCCAGGTGGCGATGAGGCCCCCCCAGTTGTTGATCTCCAGAAGATGATCTTGGGAGAGCCATCGAAGCTAAGATCCCAATTTCGACTCACTTACAACATGATTCTCAACTTGTTGCGAGTGGAGGCACTCAAGATTGAAGAGATGATTAAGCGCAGCTTTTCAGAACATGCCACACAACAGCTGCTGCCGGAGCATGAGAAGGCCGTCAAGGTTTCGGAGGCCGATCTGGCCAAGATTAAGCGGGACTCGTGCAATACCTGCGACGCATCAATTGACGACTGTCACCAAGCCTGTCAAGACTACAAAGTGCTGACCGAGGAAATGTATAAGTTCCTCCTTGGCATCCCTATCGGCCGCAAGATGTTCAGCCAGTCGCGCCTGATTGTGTACAATAAAGATGGCATCCGTACACCGGGCATTCTGTTGTCGGACGGGGCAACAAACAAGGGCCCACAGGGCAGTCCGACTCTGCATGTATGCGAGATCAGACTCATGAGGGAAACTCGGGACTCGACCGACCTTCTACCCTTCATTCCGGCCTTTCGCAAATATCTTACGCCGCTCCCACAGGCGAAGAAGCACATTCGCATTAAGACCTTGCATGTGCCCCTGGGCGATGTAGAGTGCCTCACCAGGTACGTGACGAAGGGTATCGTGCCAGAGATCTTTCAGAGTGGCGAGAAGTACATCAAGGCAAAGGACAGACTCCATTCGATCTGTCGATCATGGGACGACCCGTGGGATGAAATGGACCTTTCCAAGATCAAAAACCTGCAATTTCAGGAGATGATGAAGAAACGAAAGGATGCTGAGCTCACTGCATCGTCGTCTCCATCACTATCCTGTGGACAGTTCTTGAAGCATGTAAGTGACATCTTTTTACAAAGACATATTGACGACGAGCGACTGCTAACGCTATATGAACAAACAGTTCGCGATGTGCCATGATCAGTGGCTCATCAAGGAGCATATTTCTCAGTTGCGCCAGTCTCTGTCGGACCAGAATCTACAGCTGCTTCCCGACTATGAGCAACGAATCCAGGTGTTGAAGCAACTTCAATTCATCGACGAGAGTTCCAGGATTCAGCTCAAGGGCAAGGTAGCTTGCGAAATCCATTCAGGCGATGAACTCGTCCTGACGGAGCTGATTTTGGACAACGTGCTCGCAGACTACGAGCCGGCTGAGATTGCAGCTTTGCTTTCTGCCTTCGTGTTTCAGGAGAAGACTGACTCACAGCCAAATTTGACCGGAAATCTTGAGCGTGGCAAGGACACCATCATTGCTATCAGCGAGAAGGTAAACGAGGTACAAACGCTGTACCAGGTCATCCAAGCCGCGGACGATTCCAATGACTTCATATCTCGTCCTAGATTCGGTCTGATGGAGGTGGTCTATGAATGGGCGAGAGGCATGAGCTTCAAAAACATCACCGACCTCACAGACGTGCTTGAGGGCACAATCGTGCGAACCATCACGCGGCTTGACGAGACATGCCGTGAGGTGAAGAATGCTGCTCGTATCATCGGCGATCCGGAACTGTATCAGAAGATGCAGACTGCACAGGAGATGATCAAGCGGGATATTACAGCAGTAGCCAGTTTGTACATGTAGAAAATAAAGTGTTCAACATGCCTCAAGTCTAATCATAATACGCGTTGGCCGACGATTTGCCTGATTTTCGATTGAAACCACAAACATGCTGCCGCGGCACAGAGCCCTCCTACAGAAGACTCCTTCTCATGACGTTTTGTGTTCGTGAGCTCATTCCTCCAGTATTCTTCTCGCATGTGCCAACTCCCCAAAAACGCCTGATTAAAAAAGTCCCGAAATCCTTAATGAGTGTGCCAGCCTTGGCTGCTTAATTTGACAGCGTGCGATTCAAATCTATGCTCTCAAAGCCCGCAGTCTTTGTTGCAAGGCATCCTCCTCTTCCGCAGTAGGCTCACTAGCGACAAGCTCCTCCTTGGCTGGTGTTGCGCTATTGAGTTCAGCGTTGAGCTGCACGCCTGCATCATCAGCTAGCTTGCCTAGCAACTCATGGACCGCGTCCTCGGATACCTGGGCGCTGGTAGATTGCGAAATGGCGTCCTGATAAATGCCGTTGGACATGGCATACTCTTCGTTTTGCTGTTTGAACTGCTCCAACGTAACAAGGGTCTGAAATAGAGAATGGCCTGTAAGTAGAGGCCGACGGTATCACTACGGTGGTTGTTGCATCGACTCGACATACCTTCTCGGGGTTCATGTTCTTCTGTGCGAGGGACATGGTACGAGACGACTGTCCCATCATGTGCGTCATGCGATTCATTGAGTTATTGGCCTGGATTTGGGCGGCGGAGAGCTCGGCCATATCCGCCATTTGATCCATCTGCTGAGCTAAAGCTTGCTTAGAAAGAAGCATTTTAGCCTTCTGATATGCCTTTGCTGTTTCACCCTTCTTCAGCAGCTATCCGATCGAACATTAGCCGTGGTTCAAAGCAACATTGCGACGCGCTGTCTGGCGATGACCAACATCTTGGATTTGCTTCTTCAGGATTGGGTCTTGCTTCGCGGCCTTCTGCGCTTCTCGTCGGGCTTGCTTGGCTTGGAACTAGAGTCCTGTCAGTAATTATAGAAAAGTTGACTTCTCACAGCACGATGGCTAATCAGTATCTCGTACGTACCCTCGCCTGGAACTCTACTTGCATGTCTCGGGACAGCTGACGGTTCGACATGATGTCGTCTGGAGCCTGTTCAGGATCGGGTATGTGGTGGCGGGGTTAACGAGAGGTTATCGCAACGCTACGGCTCTGAGAGTATCGTTTGCCTAATGGCAGTCAGGTAGGACAGATGTCACGGAAGAAATATGAAAAGTACAGGCTGGGAACAATATGGTCAACTTCGGACGTGGAGGATATGTGTCACAGGAAGTCTTGCCGGTTATTCAGGCGGCCAGTCAGGTGTGGGAAGATGACTGTCGGCAGGCGACACGAGATAGCGATTGGTATCGGTTCACAAGCTGGCAGCCTGACATCTGCGCCGGGCGGGGCCATCTCCCAGACCAGCCATAGCGCATGACGTAACGCTTCTAGCCGTGCTAGTGTGTTAAGTAAGCGAAACACCAGCCCAAGTCACTGCCACATGGCTCTTTCCAGCCTAGACACCAGCACGCCTGTGGCTCATCATCAGTGGTTTGTTGGACTGGTCGCCTCAAACCGGACGAACTGTATTGCCGGAAATTGGATGAGACGATATCTATGATGCTCTCATGCGGACGTCCGCGTGGTGAAGGGAACAGAGAAATATAGGTTAGCCCTAGAAAACCACCCCTGAGGGACATATCAACGTATTCCGTAAATCGATTATCCCATGGCTGCAAAACTAAAAATGAACGTGCAATCATTTCCACGACCTCCACTGCTGGAGAAGGTGTCAAAACACCTGCGAATTACTTGGCAAGGCGAAATGATCGCAGACACCAAGGATGCCTACTGGGTGCTAGAGACTCACCATCCTCCCAGTGTGTTTTTCCTGTGCCACCTTCACAAATCTTCGAACCGTTACTGATTCTCGGACAGCATACTATCTCCCATCCACTTCCATTCATGTCCCACTCACCCCGACGCAACGGAGTACATACTGCGAGTGGAAGGGTGCTGCAACTTACTATGCAATTACTGCACCCAGAACATCCAATGTTCAGGAACCACAAGTCGTATCGAATCGCATCTGGTCGTACAATTCCCCAACGCCCGGGTTCGACGCAATCAAGGGATATTTGTCTTTCTATGCAGGACCGTGGGACTGTTTTGTAGATGGGGAACTAGTTGAGCCTCAGCCAGGTGATTTTTACGGTGGCTGGGTAACTTCAGACATTGAGGGCATTGTCAAAGGTGCTCACGGTAATTGGGATCCTGTCTTGTGACAGGTTTCCAGATGCAAGATTGTGAACTGAGGGTTGTGAACAAAATACGGAAGTCGAAAGCCACGCAAGAAGTACATGCAACGGGCAGAGGACGTCTGGAAGATAAGGGGTCTTTTGCGACTGAGGGAACAGTTCACTGTACGTACCTCCGTTCCTTACATTGAAACGACGATGAACAGGGGTAACACGGGGAAAATTGACGATCAAGGTGTCTGGCCTTCCGTCATTGTTCTCGAACTAGGTAGGGAGGGAGGTACTTCGTTCTCCCCTTGCCGATACCCGACTAGTACTGAGAGACGGATTTCGACAGCTAATTACGTACCCTGTTCAGCTTCTCCTCCTCGGTCGTCTCGCTGCCATCTGCGGCAGACGAAGGTCTTTCACTCTCACTCGGCCCTGAAGGACATTGATGAATGAGATTGAATCCGAATCCGACACTACATGGTTATATGCGACGAGCAGGTGTGGGTACCACAAAAAGGGATTCTGGGATGAATGTACTGCGTATGCGGGGAAACTTGGTACTTGACACATCCTCGGTTCGCAGACAGGCTACAGCCAGTTGCGTCGGTGCAAATAATCGTTGTCGTCGTATCTTGAACATGACCTTAATGTCAAACAAGCACGCAGTACACAGGAGTTCTCGGAATTCCATCCCTTCGACTCATCAAGGTGTACCGAAATTCTGTGTTAGGTCGTCCTCTTCTGCCACCAGCTAGACCTTCTCACATCGTTCGCTCTTTTTTGGAGACGACAGAACGGAGAAGATACATTGACGTATTGAACGGCGCGCCAACAGCGTGCCACGCCCGATTTTTAGATTGAGAGAGCGTCGGCTGCTATTACGTGACTGTACACACAACTACCTGAGGTGTCGACATAGGACTCGGTAGGAGGGCAAAGGCGACAATGAAGGCGACGGCGACTAATGTAATTATAGTTTGTCTTAGCTCGTCGCAAGACGTTGAGGCGAACTTGACATAAGTACATAGACCGTCGATCAAAGTCTCGACGGCATGTCAGTGGTTCCATCGGAGGTACACCGTACATATTTAGCCGGGCACATTCCATTTATCATTGGCAGCTCTTAAAGTTCATGGCTGGTACTCCCTAAACCGTATCAAAGGTATAGACATGACGAACAGCGGCCTTCAATGGTGCACCCCCAAGGTTGAAGGCGTCGCAGTCTGGACTCAGGAGTCGCCTACTGGCCAGTGCAGCGGATCTGCGGCAATCAGAACGCCTAGGTCGCCTCAGGAGCGGTGATCCGATGGATGGGTACGCCGGTGAAGCGGCCGCATCTCTGGTGTCGAGTGCGGAGCGCAGAGCGCCGGCGAACTGTACGACCCCTCCATGTCCTCCATCAAAAAGCGGCGTAGGATGGAGACACGCAATATGCTGATCAGGCTGGTGAAGTTCCCTTACTTCGGCTGGGTGAAGCGAGGTCCAGTAATGTGAGGAATCGGAGCGGGAGACAGTCGGTATGAGATTCCTGGATTCCTAGGCAGGCAGGGAGGATCAGGAAGCGTGTTTCCAAGGTGGATGAGACAGAGACGAAGACGACTCAGCAGCACCACAGTGTGCAATGTCTAGGCCCGGCCAATTATGCTGGTTCTGGGTCATTTTCGCAATAGAATTTTGCGACCTTGAGATGGCACCAAAGTATAAAACATGGAAGCATATGAACGGAGCGAAAGGTAGTTCTTGTAAGATTCAGCCCGGATTGGGGCACTGTCTTCCGTAAGATACCGAGGTTGGAGGAGGAATTCGCAGTGGCGGCGCTGACTGAGTAAGGTCGCACGAGGGGTGAGGTCTTCAAACTTGGGTGGGCCTGAGCTGGAGCAACGCCGGGGAAGTCGGGTGGCTAAGTTTAGCAAGCGGCGGGCGGTAGACATCGAGGCACTAAATCAGCTATCGTCTCCGACGTCTGCCAGCGATGGATACCGCGAGTCGTCTCTGTGGGTCGCTTCGGACCTGGACGCATTGCCGCGTAGCACTGTAGCAGAAATGGCAAGTGCGTGAATCGGGTTTGTTGCTATAGTATTTCAACGGTGAAGAGAGCCGGCAAGTTGCGGTGAGCTCAGCTGACAGCAGCGCATGCCGTGTCAGCCATGTAGGCACCTAGTCAGTCAGGTCAGCAACGGCAGATGAGGCACGGCACGCAACACAGCGGAGCGAAGCCAGGCTTACGTGAAGACACGGCAGAGGATCGATTGATCAACCTAGTCAGCGAGAAGCATCCGGACTATCCAGTGCGTCGAAGCCCGCTCGCTTGAGCGGACTCGGAACCTACGAAGAGATGGTCAATTAATTACAGTTCGCGCCTCGCGGAAGCATAGAAAAGGGGGATGCTCCTTGGAGTGGCGCGGCCTACGTTTGGCACGGTGCGCCATTCGTGTTTCCGCCCCGTGGCTCCCGTGTTTCCTGTTTAGAGCTGACCCAAGGCCCCCCCCCCTTTGCAAGCTGGACGTGGAACTGGGGAAGACATCCGAGCCAGTGAAACCATGGAGTCGCTACACGCTCCTGCTCCTATGACTGCTGTCAGCTATTCGTACATAGATCCACCAATCACCATCCACTTACCTCGCTGAATTCGCTCCGAATGCCCCCCTTGCGCCTAGTATCCGTACCTACCTCCCTTTTGGGGTTTCGCCCACTCACACTAGCATCCTCTGCGCCCCCCTCCACTCTACGAAGGTATACGTATCTACAGGTACTTTCCTTACCTTTCTGCAGGCAGGCACGATACGGAGTAGACAAACACGACAAGTCCTACCTCCTGAGACCTTGCGTGATTGACCCCATTTTAGGCGGCACCCTTGCTTCGCTTTCGCCCCCTGTTCCACTACGGCCTCCACTGTGGCCTCAGGTACACCCGTATGTCCTTCTCGCCCTTGCAGCCTTGGGGGCCTTGGGGGATTGGGCACTTTTGCCTGAGGCAATACACGTTGACCATCCCAAAGCGCCCCCTTGCACGGGGCCAGCGTGGCCTCAACTTACAAAAGAGGCCACATCGCCTGCACCTCACATTGTGGCCCAGTAATCCTCAGCTCTCACCACGCCAACCCCATCCTACGAGAGAGAACACTTGTCAGCTTGCCCCAGGACCCGGACGATCAAGCTTCCACTTGGACCTGGTGCCTTGTGTCGGTGACTCACCTAATCAGTCTGACTCATTCTACGGGTCCTTATCAAAGAAGTATCATGCCTTCTTAGAATAACGCTCTTTCTCTATCTTTTTGTATGAGGAACTAGGACGGCACCTCCATACGTTCAATAACCCACTTCACACCCACATCACTGCTGCAACACACTTCTCCCCCGCACCTGGCCTTCCAACTCTCCGCATTGGAACTGGCAGGTCGATTGTGCCTCGCGCTTTGCACCACGAAAAAGTCCTCCTCTCTGCCTATCCCACAGTCCTGTTGAATCACCATCACAACCGCAAACTACGATGGCTGCTTGGGAACAGACGTCACCAATGATCAAGTTCGAAGATTCGCCTGCCGAGTCTTTTGTTTCGACTCCGGGCGAGCTCTATCCATCCCTCTTCGGCGACGCCGCACCCTTGGCCGCCGATGATACCACCGTCAACCCCTCCGATATGTTAACGCCTCCGCCCTTCACCGAGGACAACCCTGTCTCAACCCCGGACACCGACTCTCCTTCGACCGAGAAGAAGCCCGTGAAGAAGAGGAAATCCTGGGGTCAAGTTCTCCCGGAGCCCAAGACAAACCTCCCACCAAGGTATGACGCAATCGGACAATGCCACAGGCCCGTAGCTAACCCCCAGTAGGAAAAGAGCGAAGACGGAAGATGAGAAAGAGCAGCGTCGAGTCGAGCGCGTCCTCCGTAACCGCCGAGCCGCTCAGTCTTCTAGGGAGCGCAAGCGTTTAGAGGTCGAGGCTCTCGAGAGGCGGAACAAGGAGCTCGAGGCAGCCCTTTCAAACGTCACCAAGGCGAACCAGCTCCTGGTCGAAGAGCTGAACAAATTTCGCCGTGACTCTGGCATGCTGACTCGGTCATCATCGCCTCTCGATCCTCTCCGATCCAACACTGTCACCTTATCACCAGAGCTTTTTGGCTCTCATGATGGACACCGTCCCTCTGTCGATGAGACGAAGAATCTCGTCGATGATTTGATGACTACGTCTCATAGCAATCCGACCGTCAACCCCGCGTCGCTATCCCCCGAGCTTTCGCCAATCGCAGAAGATGACGAGGCAGATGCCGAGGACAACGAAGTGGCCGAGACCAACGTGAAGTCCTCCGACTTGACACAACGTCCTGCAGCGATGTTGTGCGACCTGCAGTGTCAACAGTCGGAGGATCTTCCGCAATCATGGCTGGCCTCTCAAACCCCTCTGCATCCGACCTTGGTCTTCTTTCTGCAGCTTCAGATGCTGTCAATCACATCATCGGTGATTCTTTCAGTCTGTCGGCGGCCCTTGACACAGATCGCTATGTCCTTGAAAGCGGGCTTCTCTCTTCCCCCAACTCCCTTGATTATGAACACGATTATCTGGCTGGTGACTCTACCGCCTTCCTCCAGGACCCATTCGACATCAGTGAATTCCTCAACGACGAGGTCAACGGCAGTGTCTCAGACACGAACGCGGTTATCGGCACAGCCGTCGCAGCGGACCCGGACTACGGCCGCGACTCTACCAACGCTGAGACTCAAGTCTCTTCAGAGAATCCTAACCTGCAGCCCCACTCTGGCGCGTCCACTTATGGATGCGACGATGGAGGCATTGCGGTTGGTATCTGAAGGATGCGACGAACGTGTTGAAGGGTTGTCGACTGAACCTTCGGCGGGGCGCGACAGCGGTCAGACACCGTGGACGTGGTTGAATGGCGCATCGTTGCCGTCCAGAGAGGTGCTCATGACCTTATTATGGGCTCTGAGGGTTGAAGAGCGGAATCTGGTCCGGAAGGGTCAACTTGCACCGCAAGACATCCCCTACTCGAGAAATCGTGCCTCGACAGCACCTAGCACCTACGTGTTTACAGTAGTTTCCAAACGGAAGTGTGATGAAGCGGACGTGACGGAATTTGGGAAGCGTTGTCGATTAGCTTGATAAAGGTTATGACTATGGTGGTGGGAATGGTCACGGCGTTATGGGTGGTGTCCAGCGAAATTAGAGGTCAAACCTGGGAAATGTAACAACAAATACTAAACGAGAGTCGCCTTGCGACCAATGAACAAAATTCTAAGAACCGTTTCAAGATACTGCCAAAGTGTGTCGACGAGCTCACAAAACCAGTGTGTGTATATCCATTTTGAATAAATGTATTCGTCGGAGTTGCGTAACGCCTCTATTATTTACACCATCCGTGGTTGTCGTAAATAGGCTGGGGACGCCGACTTGATAAGAAACCACTGAAGCCTGGTGGTTCAGCAGAACGTGGCTTTGTTCAGCCTCGACGATTCGAGCTGTTAGTTGAGTATTAAACTATTTGCGTTGGACAATATCCCATCCGACATGATCAATGTGCATGCCACCTTAACAACGCCTTTTGCATCGTTTCTCACTCTTCAGTGATTGTTCCATGCAGCCTCGAAGCACTTCCTCTTGCGCCAAGTCCAACTCTACCTATGTTCCCGAAAGCGCTGTAGGACGTGACAAGAAGAAAGTTCATTCCCGTGGTTCAAGCGACGGCAATCCATAGAAAACGTGATGCCCCGCGGTCTAGCCTCCGTTTATCTTTTTCGCCTCCTCTCCCTTTCCAAGTTTCGTTACATAGTCGGTGATCATATATAATTCGTCGGAATCACCACAAGCCGGTCATCTCAGCCATGGCTGCCTCTTCGTCTTCAAAGTCATCCCCGGCTGGTTGGTTATGTGGAAATTGAGCCGGTGATTGCATCCGGTCAGCCATCTCTGCTTCCGCCATAAGAGCATCCAAGTCGTCGTCCCCGTCTGGTTCTTCGGTTGGCTTCGGTGCTCCTAAAGCTTGACTCTTGGGTGGCATTACGGGCGTAGCTCCGTATATATCGTCCTCGTCCGGAACAGCTGCTTCTGGTGTCTTCGGGCGCTTTTGTGTGATAGAAGCTGGTGCACTCGCTGTTGCCTCGGCAGCCACAGGACCCGGAATCTCAGCTTCCACCTCGAAAGCGTCATCCGCCTCCCAAGGTTTGGGTTTGCCTTCATTGATCCATTCCAATCGCTTGTGCGCAATTTGCTTCTTGTGCCCCGTCTTTTCTACCATCGCTACGGCGTCGAGAAATTTGGCTTTTGGAAATAAGTCGTCCAGCCAGAGTTGATAGAAGGATAGCAAGCGGGCTGCATCAGAGAACTAGCAGTGAGTTAGTTGTATCCACGGAATACGCGTCAAAGTAGCAAGAAAGCCGACCTCGTGTCCCTTCCCCTTAAATTGGAGATCTGCGGCGCGCTTTCGAAGCTTGGGGATGCCATTGTCCGAGAGTAGTCTGCAAAAACCCGTCGTCAGCTACACATTAGACATGAATGATCGGCTGCGCCAAACCTCACCTTGCCTCGTCAAGTTTGACTCTCGGAACCCTCGCTCGCTTATTCACTTCAACTTCTTCTTCGAGCCCCAGTGCTTCACCCTGTTTCCTCTTGTTCACGCCGAGCTCCTTTGCGTCCGGGGACAGGGTTCGAAACGGGTCATCAAAATCTTCAACGGCATAATTGTCCAAGTCATCATACCCGGGTGTTGTTCTTGATGTCATGTTGACGAGGCTCTGGGACTTCACGAGGCATCAACAGATTGCACCCAGGGTGGAGTTTATATTGCCTCAAGATGGATTGTCACTAGCCGACGCGATCACACGCGGCGCGACTTCAATTAAGAAACGCGTCTGTCCGTTGCCGCACAGACCTTCCGGTGGGCGAGCCACAAAGTCGGAGACGCCACAGCCACATACTTCTGCAGCGCAGGCCTCTGGAGTGGTGCCTCAGGCAAAATGCTCCAAGTTCAGTTCCAATCAGCGCCCAGCCATATCCAACTCATCAACCATCTCGAATTGCTGGACGACGATAGCCACCATAGCCACCACCGACGCAGTTGGGTCTTGAAATGTCGTCCGCGACCATGGCTACCGCACAAGTGCAGACATATATTCCCACCAAGGTCGTCAAGAGCGATTATCCTGTTCGTACTCCGTCTACGATTCCTCGTTTCTCCGCTGCCGATAACGCTAACGTACTTCCACGAAGCTCATCGACAATGACCCGTATGCCCGAACCCGATTGTCCCGGGCCATATGACAGCTCAGGTCGATTGCTAACGCCGGAATGCCCACAGCCACTTCAAGAGGGTCGTTGGCTATGCCAGGCCTTCCGATTATGCCCACGGAGCTATAGCCGCAGCCTTCGCTCCTGGCGCTCTCCTTGCCCTCGAGAAGTTCGCTCCCTCACATGTCGGTAAGGGAGGTTTGGCGCAAGCCATGCGCCTCGCCGGAGCCATCGGTCTTGCTGGAGGATTTCTTTACTTTTACCAGCGCTCTAGCTGTGAGTTTTTACGACGATCTGAAGGAACGGAGGCCCTAACCACAAAGGCATAGTGCGATTTTACGGTGCCACCGAGAACGCGAGAGAGGTTGAGATGGATATGAAGGAGATGGTCTCCAAGGTCAAGGCAGGAAAGCCGCTATATGGCGAGAGCAGGTTGACCCCTCACATGCAGGGCGTTGCTGCAAGACAGTCAAGATACTCTGCTCTGTTCATGGGTGTCGTGCCTTGGTTCAACTTTGTCAATCACAACCAGCATGGTGTCGACACCGCGAAGTACTACCAACAAGCTGAGAGAGAGCTTGAAGCTGAGCGTCTGAAGAACGGGGGCTTGTGATTGCCTCAGACCCTGTGTGGTTATGCTGCATATGAAAGATAACAACCTTTATATATTATAGCTTAAGCAGGGAAAAGCTAATGCAAATTACGTACTCTATTAAACTAGTAAACTACCCTAATAATTATCCTTTTAACTTTATAAATTAGAAATAACTATAAATATTAAATTTATTTATAGCTATTATATATAAATTTAAGCTAGGCTGCTAGCTTTATATTATGAAATTTAACTAGTATTAACTATAAAAGCTAGACTAGTCTCCTCGCCCTCTATTAGTAACCTTTAGGTTATATAACTATAGTTTAAACTTAGATATTATAACTTTATACATTATAATAAGCCTTAACTATCTTCTTCTAGCTGCCTCTATCTCTACTCCTCTAAGCTGCACTTATCTTCCACGCTATATTTAATCCACACCTATATTCTATTAATAACGTTTTCCACTTTATTATGCAGTTTTAATATAGAGCCCTACTGCTATTAGCTATACTCTCACTATTAGATTTATTCTTCTTAACTTACTAATATTCCTTTTAAACTACTTTAGCTATTTTAAAGAAGTCTATAGAGTGTTTATAAATATTAAAATTATTATTAATAACTTTAACTATTCTATATTAACTTTAAAACTATATAACTTTAATATCTTATATTTATTAGCTATTTTAAATAAATACTTCTAAAAACATTTAAATAGAGTTTTTTTATTAATATAGAGAAAATTACTATATTTAAAACTTTTAATTTTATTTATTTTAGTTTTATAAATTAAATTATTTAAAGTAGCTTTATTTAATTTTTATATAAATATAATAAAGAGAAAAGATATTATAATTGTTATATATATAAGATGATATAAAAAAAAAATTTAAAGTTTTATTTAAAGTAGTAGTTAAGTTTTTATATCATAGCTATAAGAACTTTTTTAGCTATATAAAGAGTTATACTATTAAGGTTATACTTTAAAGTATAAGTTTAAGCTATTACTAAGCTTTAGCTACTATAAGTATTATTAGCGTTCTGCGTTATAAATAACGTTTTTATAATATTATAAATAATATTCTTATAATTAAATAATAGCATTATAAATAACGCTTTTATTAATATGTTTTATTACTCTACTACCTACTTATTTATTCTCTTTTATATAGCTAGAGATAAATTAAGCTAAGCGTTAATAACTAGTTATATTAAGATTTATTTATTTATTTTATTAAGGTTAAATATAAGTTAAAATGCTACTATTAGGTTTAAAATATTAGGAAAATTTTTGAAAAGTAAACTATAATACTTACTTATATAGGTTAATTAAACTGCTAATATAAGAATTTCTAAAAGATTATTTATTATAAATAAAGGGAAGTTTTAAAAAAAACTAAAAGTAAAAAGAAAAGAAATTTATAAATATTAAATTAAAAATATTTTTCTAAAGTTTTAAATTAAGTGTTTATTATAATAAAAACTTAATAGCTATAGTTTTTATAATTTTAAGTATCTTTAGTTCTACTTTTGTAAATATTTTAGTATAGTTTTTATTACTTATATATATAACTTATTAAAAAACTCTTATATTATTCTTTATTTTTAAGCTATTATTATTATAAATATTTCTATTTATTAAACCTCTATTACTATAAGTACGTTTAATACTTTTAATTTTAATATAGGTTTTAGCTTTATTTTTCTTTTTATTAGTTATTTGAATATGTAAAAGCGTGTATAATAGAGGTAATATTATTAAGAGTAGGGATAGTATTTAATATAATAAAAGGGGGAAACTTTTCGTTTTGTTGATTATTATAATAGAATTCCTCGTACTCAATAATAACCATTTATAACCAGTATAAATAGTTACTAATAATATAAAAGAAATAATACGAATAATAATAGTGAATAATAGTAATAGGTAGTAGTAGTTGAATAGATAAAACTGTTGAATTGCTTGCTTCC